ATACTCATCCATGATTGTTTTAGAACCACCCGGTGTCTTCTATCAGAAAATGATGAGAAGGCATGCAACGGTGATATTTTGCTTCTAAAATTGTTACCAGCCTTTCGTCAAGTTGTTTCTTCGTACATTAATGAAAAGCAACGGGCTGTTCTCGATCAATTGCAAGAATTGATTCGTTTAGAAAGGTACGATCCATACACAAACAATCATTACTATATGGATACTATCCATCGCTTTAGACAACGGAAAAGCAAAGCTATACCAAACAAAGCAAGTCTAAATATTGCACCATCTGTGATGACTGAAAATCAAGACGATGACGAATTAATGTTTGATGCCATCTCAAATGATGATCAAGCAGTACAAGATATGCTGATCAGTGTCTTTGCGTATTGGAAGTTATTGCTCAAACGTTTCACTGACTATGCGGCATTATCTGTACGTGCTGGATGTGTATTTGACGTCTGTCCCAGCATTAAAGCACGTTTAAGAGAAGTTCCGCAAGAACAACCTGATTTTATTGATTTTTATCTAGCTGAGGATTCATCTGTAAGAACCAGACGAAAACAATTACAACAAACCAAAGAAAGATTGGAGAAAGTATATGCAATTCTTGGTGGTGGTGGTGTTAATTTGACAAGTAGTAGCAAGGATATGGTTGAAGATCCCATGGAAATCATCGATTCTTCCTCAATGACTTTAGAACAATTGGAACAAGAATAGATCTATTTTATCGAAGACAATCACTACTCTTGACTATTAATCAGCTCCATTAATAAATGTTACCGTAAGTCGATATTGAATTCATACATTGTAGTCGAAAATGCCAACAATCAAACATAAGCTCATTAATCGAAAAGTAAAATATCAATAGCAGTATTCTAAAATTGAAGAGTTCAGTCTACCTTAACTCAATAAAAGTCATATTCAAGAAAATATTTGATGAAAATCATAAGTAGTGACGTTGTTTTAAAAAGGGATGAACCTTGTGCTACTGGTTGTAAGGTACAACTTGCATCTTTGACTTGATAAAAATATTTGTTTCATCCCAATTCATATACAAATGAAAAAATCAAGATTCGACAATTTTCTTAAATGGCAGGTTCTCTGAAAGAAGGTCGCTTTCATACTCAGGTTAAATTCTTTTTGCTTTTGAATATTTCAAATTTCAAACACAGAACACAGCTTCATCTTGAGGGTGAGGTGTGGGATGTGGGTGTAGGTGTGAGTATGAGTGTGCGGGGTGTGGGTGTGGTGTGGGTGTGGGTGTGGGGTGTAGGTGTGGGTGTGGGGTGTAGGTGGGTGTGAGTGTGGGGTGTGTGGGTG